CTTTTAATATATCGCTTACTTGACCTTGGCTAATACCATATCTTGCTGCTAATTCAACTTTTTTGGTTCAGGGTTATTTTTTTTTTTAATAAGCAAATTTCTCTTTTTTGTTGTGCAGTAATAAAGTTTCATTTTTTAGATGATTATAGTTGTTCTTGTGTATTAAACTTTATTTTTATAATTTTTTTTTTTAAATAAATAACCAACCACTCAAATAACAAGGCTTGTATTTATATCTTTTAGAATTTCGTAAAAATATTAAATCACAGAAATGATCGTTCGTTTTGTTACAATTTCCACAAAAATAATCATATTAATAATATTAATATTACATAAATAATTTATCGTACGATTTTTTTGTTAGTCATTTTCCACGTGACTTCGTTGTAACGCGATTAGTATTAGTAACTAACTATATTCGTTGTCGGGTATATTTTCCATCAAATTCATTCTTTTCTAAAATACTTCATAGTAATAGTTTTCTCCATTTATGCGATTATTTGGTTTACCTATGGCTTAGTTTATGGCTTCGATAATAATGGAATAAGTAATAGTCGCAGTATAAAAAATTGTGTACACGCGCTAAAATGCCAAGAGCTTTCAACTGCATGTTATTTATCTGGGATCAACCTAATATGTATGAAGATTTACCAAAATAGAAAAAAAAATAAATAACGCAAATTTTAATTACCAATTTTTTTTTACAATTCTTTTAATGCTAAATTAAAATATATAAAAATTTGTAAAATATGTCTTCATTTTTTGCAAAAATTATATCTATATTCTCTTTTATAACATTATTATATTTACCTTCAATAAATTCAAGTTTTTTTAACAGAAACAATAAACATTCATTAACTAATGGACTGACACCGCTAAAAGATACCGGTCTACAAAACATTTCAGGAACGGTGGCGGCTTTTGGCGATTTCAATTCGGATAAATTGTAAATTATTATTATTACGTTGATTTTTGGGGGAGAAGGGAAAAATCAAAAATAAATTTTCGATTTTAAAAAATTTTTTTTAGTACCGATATAGTTGTTTTAGATTCTACTCAAAAATCAATAAGCATATATTTATGGGATCATGGTATGCGGTGGATTTTATTATTTATTTAGTAATCAGTTATTTTGATTTATTTTTTTCGCGCACTTTCTTATGATTTTTCATCAAAAATAACATTATTAGAATCAAACAAGTTTTCTAAGGCAAACTCGTCAGATATAGAAATAAATGATTTTTTGATCACAAATGTAATACCAGGAGATTATAATTATGATGGAAATTTGGATTTATTATTGATGGGTCAAACTAATCCATCAACTATATATAGGAAAAATGAACCATTATATATGAGAGTATATTTTGGATATGATAATGCTACATTTAGTTAGTAACTAATGATCTTTTATTAGTAATATTTATTTTTAACCCTCCGAAAAACTTGGGATTTACAAATATATGCTTCTTCAAAATGATTGATTTCTCTAGATCTTAGTTATGCTGATCTTGAATCATCATATTCACAACATCCAATAACATTCGATTTTGATGGTGATATGAAAACAGACTTGCTTGGGCATTATTTCTCTTCTACACACGATAGTAAATTATTTGTATGGAAAAATGTATATAATGAATCTACTGGAACATTATTTGAAGTGTAAGCTTAAGTTAAATCTTATTATTAGTTGGTATTTGTTAGTTATTATGTAAATCCATATTATGATATAAGAAAGAAAATTCCATCATTGATTGACTTTATTGGAGAGTAAAGGGAGAAGATTTTTGTCATTGGAAATCATAAATATAATAATTATAATAACCAACTAATAATAATTTATGTATTTTATACAAGGGTTCCATTATCAGACAACATGACCATGCCACAAAAAGGTTGTAGATTATCAGAACCACATTCAAATGCTTTTATAGATCTTAATGGTGACTGCTTATCAGGTAGATGATGGAATTTTATATTTGCAAATATGTATACATATCAAATATTATTAACATATATTGCAAAATTAGATCTATTCTTGACATGCGAGGAAAATTTCAGGGAAACATCATATCAAATATGGGTTAATACAAAGGATCATGGATACGTTCTTACCAGATATGGTGAATTACCTACATATGCAGGTCCAATTACATTTGCTGATATGGGTTAGTAATAATAGTAATAATAGTAATAAAGCGCGTATTTGTTAAAAATTTTCTATTGGTTCAAATTAATTTTACTATTCATTATTTATTTATATATAAATAGATGGAGATGGTACAATAGATATGGTATTTCCGGTGTGTAAAAAATCCGAGTGTGCCATTCATATAGCTTACAATAAACAAAAGCCTTTATGCTCAAGTAAAGATGAAACAAATTGTAGAAAGTTATCAAATTTGTGTGAACCTGATGATGACTTTAGATTTAATCTAAACGATGATCCAGATAACGATGTAAAAATTATTATTATTATTTAAATTTTATAAAATTATTTATATAAATCTTATTTTAATATATATATATATATGTGGTTAAAAAAACTTAGGCATATACAATTATAGATGTTAAAGATTTACTAGATGGTGGAGTAATAGTTATTAAAGATAAATCATTCAAAGGAATGTTGCCTGTTCCAATTAGAATTGGTAGGTCTTTTATTACTATTACCACAGGGCTGGCAGTGTAAAGGAGTTAAAATCCTAATTTAGTCTAGACTAAACTTGACTTAACATATGACTAAATAGTTTAGTCAGTTTAGCTAAGTGTTCATTTGAGTTACGCGGTCAGCCCTTATTACCATTCATTTTACTTTGTTCATATTATAATTGTATTAACTGATTTTATTATATAGGTGATTACAATATGGATGGTTTTCCCGATCTTCTTGTTATTAGTGAAAAGGGCACTGAACATTTTGTATCATTATTAGAGTCAATTCCATGCACACTTGAATATTGTGATCCATTAGCTGTTAAAGCTCAAAGACGTGCATTTGTTAAAGTGATTGATGGTGCAAATTCATTAAATGAAATTACAAATGCAAAAGGTGCTGCTTTCTTTGATGTTGACGAAGATGTAATTATTATTTATTTTATTTTTTATAAGAAGTCTATGTATTATAATATTTATGAGAAGAAATTTGTAATTTAAATGTATTTATTTATTTTAGGGAACGTTGGATATAATGGTTCTTGCTGATCTAAAAAGTAATGACGCAGCAAGAGATATTTACTTGATAAATAATGATTACTTTAATGATGCTTTCTTTTTAAAAACTTTGGGTATGTTTAATAATAATAATAACAATTATCATCATCATCATCATTATTATAATTATGATTTTCTTTCAATAATAATAATGTGTCTGCCTTGTATTTTGTAGTATTAAATGGTGTATCGCAAAGACAGGTATTTTAATTCACATATGATGTATTTCTTATTTAATAATCAAACCTTAATTTAATAATTGTAATCATTGTTATTATATGATAATTTAATAGCATTATGGAGTAAATTATCCAGGCTCGGCGTTTAAATTTACTGTTGTTGATACATACGGAAATAAAAGAGCAAATCAAGGTACTTTTCAATAAATGATTGTAAATTTGAATTGATTGAGTAATCAGATATTAATTAATATATGGATTTAAATAGTTGCACAGTATTCGCAAGTTGGATATCTTTATTTACAAACGCCTTACACACTCTTTGGGCTTGGACGTACAAATAATTATGTTGAAGAATTATTTGTAGGTGTTGTGCGTAACCAGGTACTGCTTGTTATTATTGATAATACTAATTGCATAAATGTAGATTATGTGATTTTTACTGACTTCTATTTTATAATAATAGTCTTATCATTATACTTCATATTTTGGTGTAATTCCAAATTCTCAGCTTATCATTATACCATATCAACCTGATGATTATAATGACATTTACACGTATGTCTATTACTAAAATATATTTAATACATATTTATATTCTAATTTATGTTCTTGATTAAATAGATGGGCATTAGAGCTATATATTCATCCTGGCGATTGGATTCCATGGGTATTAACTACACTGGCCACAGCTACTGTTATTTTAGCAACTATTGTTGCAGCGTTACATTGGATGGAAAAGGTAAATAAATTGAGAAGATTTCTTACTATCTATAGATTAATTTATTAATTAATTATTAATGTTATTAATATTATTAATATTAGAGAGAAGATGAACTAGAAAAGAAAAAATCATCACTTGTTATAAATTTTGATGCATTATAATAATAATAAAATTAAAATTAATTTAATTGTATTTATACCCCAATAATTGTACATAGTAATTTAAAATATAATGCATTAAACAAGGAACATTTATTTTCATTAGAAGTTGGCTTATTGAGATTTGAATTTATAAAACTTGAACAGTTGGTTCCCTGCGAATTTATGATCAATGTGTTTAAAATTTAGCAAACTTGATAAACTTTTCTTCTTTACATAAAATGTCGTCTAAATAAAAATAATACTACTACCTCATAATCGTATAATATCTATTGATACTTCAAATGGTATCAGTATTAGCATTATCATTTGTATTAGTATGTAATTGTCCTTATCGTTATGTATAATTTAAGCCATTACATAAATCTAATGGAACGATATTATTATAATGATGATGATGATGGTGATGATGGTGATGATAAAAGATATTGAAAAGATTCTTTAAAAAATATAATAATTTATTATTATTATACGTAATAGCCAGAAAATTCTATCGATACTATCACCCACCCCGTTTAGGATAGTGGCTAAAATTTAGCTTGATCAAATATTTATTGAATTTTTGCAATAAATATTCGATTAAATGTTAATTTACAATAAATTCTTTACAAATCCAAGACAGTTTTTAATACTAAATAAAAAAGGAGATGACACAAAAGTGAGGTGGAACTATCTAGTTTTAGGCGAAGGATATCACAATATTATGATTAAATCATATTTAATTTAGAGTTCCTGATTATTAAATCATAATCCAATTCAAATTTTACTTCAATTTCAAAAGAATGTAGAAAAACTGATGAAAGGGATCGATTGGTTTGCTTGTGACCGAAACTAACAGTTTGATGGTTTATCCAGGATAATTTGATATCTTTAAATAACTTTTCAAAATAATTTTTAATTTGATATTCAGCTGTCGACAAAATTTTGTAAATAGAATTTTTGAATGGTAACAATTCGTCGATTGGCAGTAAAGGTTCACTTTGTTGTTCTTTTTGTATATAAATTATTTCACCATTTGAAATAACTTTTAATCCAAAATATGATCTGAAATTAATTATATGTAATTTTATAATGTTTTCCATTGCTTTGATGAATTGGTTCAATGTGATTAAAGCAATTTGATTTCCATATGCATTTTGTATAGTGTTGGGAATTGGAATTTGGAAATAATCAAATTCTCTTAATATTTCTAATTTACTAACATGACAATAACAACAATTATTATCCTTGATCTGCTTACTACTATTACTATTACTATTACCACCACCACTACTATCACCAATGTTGCTATTATTGTTGCTGATATCATTGCTAGAATCTGAATTTCCTCCGCATTCATTATGATCAGACAAAATTATCTTACCACCATTACGATAATACTCTAATACATAATGAAAAGCTTTACCATTACGATCAATAAAATATTCATTGTTTTCATTATCACTATTAATTGGATTTAGTAATTCTTTATTTCTTTCTTGAAACATTGTACCGAGCAACGTCTCAGGATACGCTGTTAATGTTGATCGATATGTTTTATACTGTCGTATTTTATAGAGCGATTAATTAATCCTTACCATTGATGATTAATACATTAAACGACAACATTACTTTTATTATTTTTATTATTTTTAAGAATTTTTACCTTAACACCACTTACATTCAAAGTAATTATGTCTGAGAAGGGGGGAAGAGAGGGGGAAGGAGAGGGAGATATTAAAGATTTTGAAGGAGGAGATGATGGTGACGACATTATATAATTTTTTTTCGTATACGCACGTGTGAAATGAAAAAAAATATAATTACTATTATTTACCATTTATACAATAAATTATTTCACCATTTGAAATAACTTTTAATCCAAAATATGATCTGAAATTAATTATATGTAATTTTATAATGTTTTCCATTGCTTTGATGAATTGGTTCAATGTGATTAAAGCAATTTGATTTCCATATGCATTTTGTATAGTGTTGGGAATTGGAATTTGGAAATAATCAAATTCTCTTAATATTTCTAATTTACTAACATGACAATAACAACAATTATTATCCTTGATCTGCTTACTACTATTACTATTACTATTACCACCACCACTACTATCACCAATGTTGCTATTATTGTTGCTGATATCATTGCTAGAATCTGAATTTCCTCCGCATTCATTATGATCAGACAAAATTATCTTACCACCATTACGATAATACTCTAATACATAATGAAAAGCTTTACCATTACGATCAATAAAATATTCATTGTTTTCATTATCACTATTAATTGGATTTAGTAATTCTTTATTTCTTTCTTGAAACATTGTACCGAGCAACGTCTCAGGATACGCTGTTAATGTTGATCGATATGTTTTATACTGTCGTATTTTATAGAGCGATTAATTAATCCTTACCATTGATGATTAATACATTAAACGACAACATTACTTTTATTATTTTTATTATTTTTAAGAATTTTTACCTTAACACCACTTACATTCAAAGTAATTATGTCTGAGAAGGGGGGAAGAGAGGGGGAAGGAGAGGGAGATATTAAAGATTTTGAAGGAGGAGATGATGGTGACGACATTATATAATTTTTTTTCGTATACGCACGTGTGAAATGAAAAAAAATATAATTACTATTATTTACCATTTATACATGTGATCATCACGGCTTTGAATCTATTTATAATAATAGTAATTATTGTTATTATTTTTATTATAAAACAACAAATAAAAAAAGGATTTTTAAAAAAAAAAAATCATGGAAAAATTAAATGAAGAAAGAATTATACTTAATGTCGGAGGAATAAAGGTAAAATAATAATAAATCTATGTATTTGAATATATATATTCAAAATATTTTAATAATAATAATAAATAATAATTAATAAATATATATAGTATGAAACTTATCGTTCGACATTAATAGCATTTCCCGAAACATTACTTGGCACAATGTTTCAAGAAAGGAATAATGAATTATTGAATTCAACAAATAACAATAATGAAAGTAATAAAGACGAATATTTTTTTGACAGGAACGGCAAAGCTTTTCATTATATTATGGAATGGTATCGTAATGGTGGCGAAATAATTTGGCATAATCACGATGGAGCAACGGTAGCAACAGAAGAAGGAAAAAATGATGATGTTAAATGTAAAGGAGGAGGAGAGGATGGTTGTTGCTCTTGTTGTTGCTCTTGTTATTATAGTTGTGTTAATAAATTGGAGGTGTTGAAAGAGTTTGATTATTTTCAAATCCCAATTAGTAACAACAACAATAACAACAACAATAATAATGTTATCAATAAAAATCATCACCAACACCATAAACATAGTTGTAATCATCTAATATTTAAATCATCGCCAATAATTATTGCTGATGATGAATATTTAGGAAGCAAGGTAGATAGGTTTATTACAGCTTTAATTGAAACAATTGATGATTATCGATGTGAGTTTGTTGAAGATTTTAGCATAACGTTTTATAAAAGAGAGAATTTTACAAGATCAAATAATGTTGTTAGTAATAATGGCAATTGTAGCTGTGGTAATAATAATGATAGTAATAATAAGAATAATAGTAAGAATAATAATAAAAATAGCAATAACAATAAATGTACTAGTAATAATTGCAGCAATATCAATATTAGCAACATTAATATTAATAATGATAGTGATAAATTAATAAGATTGAATCCAAGTTTAAAAAAATCAAATGAAAAATTAAAGGAATTTGAGATTTCAGGATATGGAATTATTAATAATTATTTATCATCAATAATTGGATTATTATTAGGAGGAGATGAGAATAATGACAACGAAGATAATAAAAATAGTAACAATAAATCAATTGATGAAATTCTTATGGTTCGTAGTGATGATTTAACACCTGTTGAAGAAAAATACATTCAATTAAATGTCTACTTGAATTATGATTATGATAAAATTTTTGAAAATATCAAGAAATTTAGCTTAGATTAATCATATATTCATTCTTATAAGACATATTTTTTATTTAAATATTAAATATATAATATGATATTTATAATAATATAATATGTATGTTAATATTACTTCTAATTCTAATAATAATAATTAATTTATTTCATTTAAAATATATATATATGTATATATGTATATATATGAAATATGTGCAGTATAAATAATATTCTAAGGTTTTAATTTTCTAATGATATAAATGATATAACATCTTAATCATCATCAATCATCTCCAACACCACCCACAACCTACCTATCTGTTATTGATGGTTTATATTTGAATAGTTGACTATTCTTGATGATCAGTTCAGGTTCAAGTTTGAATGAAATTTGTAATTCAATACCTGAAATAATTTTACCAGATCCAGAATCTTCGATTTTATAATCGCCATTAAACCAAGTCAATTTTATTGCTTTAAACAGATCTTCAAAATGTTCTTGCAAATTAGCTCCCATCAATATCAAGATCTGATAACCTGATGCTTCAAAAGGCAACAATTCCTCGATTGACAAATTAAATTTTCTCTGATGTAAATTGTTTGTCGAATGATTAAGTTGCTTTTCTGGTTGAATGTGTCTTGGCTGATGAGTTTGTTGTGTTAATGGTTGTATTGTTTGATCATTGTCAAAATTTGATATGTAGTTTATTTGATAATTCTCATTAAATCGTATGGTGAAATCTGATATATAATTCTTTATATGCAATTTTATAATGTTTTCCATCGCTATAATAAATTTATCCAATGTATCCGATGCTTCTTCAATACCATATTCAATATTTATGTTTCTTAAAGGTATTTGAAAATAATCTAATTCATATTTTAACTCTTCAAATGTTATATTATATACACAAGTCTTTTTATTGCCGTTACCGCTGCTGCTGTTACTGCTGCTACTGCTGCTGCTGCTGCTGTTGTTGTTGTTGTTACTATTGTTATTGTTGTCATAATCTTCTTCCTTTGACCAAAAAAATTTGCCTTTACGATACCATTCCATAATATAATGAAAAGCCTCGCCGTTACGATCAAAAAAATATTCATTTCCGTTTATAGGATCTAATAAATCTTTATTACTATCTTTAAACATTGTACCAAGTAAAGTTTCAGGATGGGCTGTCAATGTCGAACGATAAGTTTTATACTATATATATACATTTATATTTGTATTAGAAAATAACAGTAATAACAATAACGGGAAAAAGTATTAATATTGAAAAAAATAATCTTAAATCAAAAAACCTTAATTCCTCCAACATCAAGAATAATCTTTTCCTCATTCATGATTCAAATTGTTATAAAATTCTTTCGTTCGGTCACACAAACCAAATATCCAATTTTTAACAGTCGTTCCAGAAGTTGTTTTTTAAAATCTAAAATATTTCGGATTTGGCTAACAACAATTATTACTATGGATATTTGCTATTATGAAAATTGTGTTGTAATGGATTATCTGATTTGGTTTATATATGTGCCACTCACTTTATACATTTCCTTTTATCTTGCCGTGTGGCTTATCTAAACTCACTACATAAGGGCCTCCCAATTATACATAGGAAATATGGCCAAAGTTTCCATTTTATTAAAATAAAATTTTGATTCTTCAATTTGTTTGAAGTGGCCCCTCTTCTACCTCTGTATATATATATATATATATATATAATCCATCAAATGAAAATCGATTAACTAAGCTTATCAGAAAAAGGCTGATATGGCATTAGCTTTTAAAAAATCATGTGATCACGACATTAACGGCGGACTAAATTTCGGGATGAGTCGGATCTAATCGATCAAATTGAAATTTCTATAAAACAACAAAGCCGCGGCGAGTTCGAACAAAATATTTTACCAGGATTTGAAAGACTGTGTTCGAGCTATTACATCCCCGGAGAGCGAACTTTACTTAATATTCAAGTCGTATTTACTTGTTGGTTTTCGAGTAATTCAAGATCAAAGTTTTACAAGATGTGAAAACACACTTTTTCAAAAGCAACAAAATCAAGATTGGATCAATTAAAATCTTTGCTCAAGTTTTAAACACGTATATTGAGTTATTATCTCTTATCCGTAGAGCAGCTTTTACTTAATGTATAAGGTGTGTTTACTTTATGGTTTTTGAGTATTTCATGGTCGAAGTCGATGTGTGACATATATCGATCCGAATCAAGTTAATTTATATGGAACCCAAGGATTACCACCTATTCGAAACATTTTAAAAAGTACAGGGCGGAAAATTTGCTCCTCATATATTTAAATTAATGCCTGAAGATTATCTAAAGGGATTAAAAAATAGAAGATAGTCATCTTAAATTAGTTGTCAACATTTTGTGCTGGTTTGGACAAAATCCATCTTTCGCCAATTGGTGAATATTATTGTACTCTTGACGCTTGTGATCTATTGGAGTAGGTTTTAGTCAATATGGGAAAATGACAAGTCTTTAATATGTTTTATGATATTGGTTTTCAACAAATTAAATTCATGAAAGGGATCATTGGCAATTTGACAACTTCTTGGATTTTTGAATGTCATCTAGCTTTTTAAATAGACCTCCAAACTTGACTTGATATTTAAAGCCTTTTCCACCTTTATAACATTCAATTCTGTAATTGGCGTTTTTGGTTTCAATATTTTGTTATGTTCCATTTATTTCTATAATAAATTCTCCTTTATTCCCACCCTCCCTTCCAATAATTAGTTATACGGACAGTCGTTTTGATTTATTGATAATTCATTTATTATTTTTAATTTAATCGCTCAATTAATATCAAACCAATAGATAATTAAACAATCATTACTATAATTATGATTATTTTTTTACCACGCTCCAAGGCCATTCATTGGTTCAAGTAAAATTATTCAATAAATTGTCGCCAAATTCTAAGTCTAATTAATCTAATTTAGAAAAATAAAAAATAAATATTAATTTTGATTTTGATCATCATCTTGTTGACCCTGAGTATAATTCTGATAAATAGAATTCCACGCATGTAATAAAATATTAGGAAGTTGTAAAATATCTCCACGCCTTGCATGATTACGAGAAAGTCTACGAAATTCTTTGCTGACATTATAACTTCTAACAACACCTTCTGGTGAAACAAAATCTACTGCAACTTTAACACAAGCAGTATAATTACAAACTTGATGAGCACAACCTGCAGGTATGAAAATCATATCACCTGGATTCTGATAAATTCTCCAGCCTTTAACACCTTGTTCTTGTAATAACATTTCCTTTAATGTTTCGTTTAGGTAGTAACATTGGTCATGAATTGGATCGTCAATCCTTAGTCCTATTTTATTGGTGTAGCCATGTAAAAATTTTCGAATTTTTGGTAAATCATTTACGTGATAAAGATCCCAGACTGCTGCTGCTGGTTTTAATTGTTCATCCGGTAGTCTTTCATGAATTCCTGGTGCATATGTCATTAGATTAACCGCATCAGTTACATCAAGGTGAAGCCTTGTAGTTCCAACTCCCTTCAATCCATCCTCAGATCCATATGCATTATACATTTTAGGACCTAAATCTGGGCTTTTAATAAGATCATTGAAAAAATCAATTAAAAAATTATTAAAAGGTCAGATAAATAATATTCATGCATCATGAATGTAAATAATGAAATTAATTGCTTTACAACACTTACACAATATATTCTCTAGGTAATTGATTGACCAAATTCATATTACCATTGCGTGTCGAATATTGTGGGAATGGCATAGTAGACATAAAATCTTTAAAATGATCAGGAAATTTTCTAGCAAAATCTTGATTTGATGGCCAATCCTTTATTTTTAAAATATATATATATATTATATTATTAATAAAAAAACTTTTTTAGGAGGTTATAATAATAATAATAATAATAATTATTATTATTATTATTATTGATACATAAATATATTATACCTTTAATTTCAAACAAGTTATGTTTCTACGATATTTAGGTCTTTTTTCAAGGTTTACAAATCCATCGAAAAATTCTCTAACAGTTGTGTGAAAGATTTTGTCAGTCTTGCAATCGATAGTATCACATGGTGTATTACCATATCGTTTACTAAGATAATTTGGATTCCAAAATTGATCTTCATATTTCAAGTTCCTAATCACAAACGGATATCCTTTTTTCCAAAATTCGCGAAACTGTTCAATTGTCATTTCTCCATTATTCCATTCAAGTTGATTGTGGCTTTCGTGTGAATTGTCATAAATTTCTGAATCAATATCTTTAAGTTCATTTAAACCATCATTATCATTGCTGTTGTCGTTGTCGTCGGCTATAATGGGTGTGGGTATGGTATCAGAATTTTTTATGGTTTTTTCTTCAGTAATTATAGAGTCGTTATTTTGTTCATTTAACAACAATAATTGCTGGGTCGGTTCAGGATTGACAATAGTAGGTGTAAATTCAATTGATTCAATAGATTTAGATAATTCAATCGGTCCAAACGACTCCGTATTTTTTGTTGGTTCAATCAATTCCATTGGTTTTATTGGTTCGATCAACTCCATAGATTTCGATATTTCAGATTTCAGTGAATTTGTATATTCGGGTGATTCCATAGCTATTAACGTTGTCGCTGGGTTTGATGGATCATTAATTAATTCAGGGTTATTTTCATTGAATATTGGAATTGTATCGTCAACATTAAGTATTTTGCATGTTTCCTTGTATAATTTTTCAATTTCTGAACGTTGATAGAAACAGACACCCAACATATGTCTTTTTTCATGCCTACGTTTCAAGGAACATTTGCCAACTGTTCCAAATGTTTTTGGCGACAATTCATCCCATTCATCGTAACATTCAATACATATTTCTCTACCACACACAATGCATATCCAAAATCCACTAAAAATTGTATGCTGACAATTATCACATAATTGTCTAATGTTTGCTTCAGGATTTTTTCTACATACAGCTTTGTCTATGTGAGAAAATTCTCTTTGCAAAATTGTTTTAAAAGTAGGTGCTATCAAATCTAATTTTTTTAAAAAATGTATAATGTGAATATAATTATAATTATTGTTATTGATTTTTGATTTGATTTTATAAAGTGATACCTAGTATATATTGGCTATCCTCTTGATTTAATGGGATTTCTCTTGATTTTAATATTGAGGCAGGGTTTAAATCCGAAATAAAATTTGAACCTTCCATTATTTCATCTGTTATAGGGTTAATATAAAAGTACCTGAAATTTTGGAATCTACATTTATCTACTTTCTTATTTACGCCTAAATAAATTGTTATTAAATAAATCATTTAAAAATTTTTTTAATAATACAATCATAATTTCATCTTTAATATTATGTATGCTCCTTACAGGGTTGGCATCTATCAAATATTGTATATTTCTTGTTGTTACAAGTGCTTTCTTGAATATGTATATTTTCACTGATTTTATCAGAAGTAATAATTTTTCCTATTGTTGATGTAGAAACCAAGATTTCTCTTAGGCGTTTGTTGGGAGACAAACATTCTTCTGTTTCAATTTTACGTTTAGTCAATGTTGCAAGACTTTGATCCAAATTTTCAGTTTGATTTGTCGCTGTGTCATCGTTGTCAATGTTCATTTCCATGTCGTTATTGTTATCTTCGTTGTTATTAGTATTAGCATAGTGGACATTCGTTTTATCACTTGTGACAAAATCGATTGTTGATCTTTTTTATGTTGTGAAACATGTGATTTAGAATAGAAGAACTTTGTTTAACATACACAGCGAGTCTCGCTCGATTTAACGGATATTTTTTTCCAGATAATAATGATAATAATAATAATAATAAATGATAATTTATTATTATCCGTTAAATCAAAAGCGATTGATCAAATCACGTGATACACATTATATGCAAAAAAAATTTAATAATAATTTTAATAATAAACATCAAATAATATTAATATCATTGTTAACTCATAAATTCGTCAATTCAACATTGTTTTGCTTCTTGGGTACTTCTATAAGAAGTTTCGTTTTATTGCTGTTTTATTCGTATCATTAGAGATATGTTGTTAATATTAATAATAATATTATTATTATTAAACTCGGCTAACAAAAAAAGGCAAGTACAAGGATCATCATTATCTGTAATATCGAGAGAAATTTATTATTATTATTATTATTATTATTATTATTATTATTATTATTATTATTATTATTACTATTATTATTATTATTATAACAAGTGATTTTAAAAAAATATCCAGTAAACCGAATATATTATGAAAAATCCCATTAGATCTGTTAGCGAGATAAAATAATTATAGACAATTTGGTTTTTGAAAATTTATCCCTAAATCCGCTAAACCGAGACTCACTGTGTACATTTTTTTTTTTGAAAAAGTAAAATATTTATGCTAACAATTACCAATTTATCGATAATTGGCGAGAATCTGATACTTTATTATTATTGACAGCATTTCATTTAAACTATCATATGATCTTAGCTATGTGGGTACAAGTCCTGAATAAATGGTTTTTATCAATTTCAAAATATCGAGTTCTAGCAGATATCTATCTAAATTTAAGTTGTTAACGATTCATAACCATTAAGTTTAAGTCCAACTGAATGACCTAGTAAATACGTTCCTTTAAAACCAGCTTTTTTATAACTAAAAATTTTCTGATTTCTTGAAGTTTAAAATAAATTTTTTTTATAAAACTCTCGGCTCTCTTACACTTCATTTTGACACGTTGGGAGTCGAATCTCAGTATATTGCCTGAACTATACACAGGGACTTTGTTACTAGTTCGGTTGACGCGAACCGTTTTCCTCTTCACCACCATTAAATATTATTAAAAAAACCAATTTAATTATCAGATTTTAAGTTGTATACTAAAATAAAACATTTTATATCATATGCAAAGATGCAGTCATGCAACTCATTAAAGATGACGATATGGCTCAATATCACAAAAGAGACTTTCATCAAAAAGTCTTTTAACAAGTTCTGTTGGACAGAAGCAGGATCGTGAAAGATACAACGCAAGAAGCTATCAAGAATATAATAGCAGGAACATAACAAGAATTTCAAATGGAAGAAAGAGGTTGTTAATCAAGAATTTGATAATATATGATAAAGAAATATCCAAAAACCAAAAACTCCTAGTGATGATACGGATGCATGCTATTGAAGAAACTGAAAAGTTAATGAAAGTATTAATGACGATAATGATGAAGGCAGTAATGATGAAAATGATGGTGACAAACAATGAACAAAAAATAAATGTAATTCGAAAAAAATCATTAATTTTATCGATGCATAAACCAGTTCAAGAAAGTAAATTATAATGATAAAAGATTTGAGACCATATAAAAACTTGTCTTCAAAATAGTATTTTTATTGTTTACTGTAGTTTTTACAGTGTTGTTGTATTGTAATTACAAAGAATTGTTTAAAAAAAAGAATGAATGAAAATTGCTAATTTTCAAATTAGCAATAATTATTAAATATACATTGACTACGTATGTAAAAAGAGTGTATGAATAAATTATTATTTAAAAAAAAGAAAAAATATTTACAACTAAAATACATTAAAATTTATCAACCACTCTCTCTTCTGAATTACTCCTGTCAAATTTGGATTTATAAAAATATTGTTCTTGAAAAATATTAATAAAATTAAACAATGAATAGTATTTTTTAAATTGGAATAATTAAGAAAGGATAAAAAAGAATGTTTGATATTAATGTGATGAAAATATTTTAATTCAAATCTCTTCCAATTGAATATTGGGAAGGTTGGGAAAGATGGATGATATTAAGGGTGGGTGTGAAGTATCAAAAAGACTTTATAATAATTAAAGACGAATGAATACTTGAAGGAATGGTGATTTTTTCAGAAAATTATTTTTTATACTTTATAAGTGATAAAAAAATCAGTTGATGATAATAGAGAAGAGGCATCAGCCCAGGTAGATGTACGATTATGTTTTCGAGATACAATAATATTTTTAGCAAATTCTAATCTCTCGCTATTATTTTTATGTTCACGTAAACTCGGTAGACTTGATCTTTTTAATCCACTCTATTATTAATAATAATGATAAATTTTTAGTTATCATATTTACAACCTTACAATAGCCAATCAATCAATCAAATTCGTTCATTCATACCTTATACTTTTCATATTGAAAGATATTATGAAGACGTGACCTAGTTTGTTCAAAGGTTTCTCTGGCAATCTTTTCTCTGAACTCGTCTATTTTTTATTATTTATTTTATTTCTTATTTTAAATTTTTTTATTTTATTTGGTATAATAATGATAATAGTATAAATGATTAATAAAACGCTACCTGACAAATTAAATTCCGGTGTAGACATTGTAGACCTTGACAAAGCAGAATTTGGTAATTCTTCGCAATTATTATGATATGGAAAATGATTTGAATTAGTTTCAAATGATTTGTCATTTTGTATTGGCATAGTGGTAGTGGTTAGTTTATTATTTTTGTTGATGATGGCTTCTTTTGGCAACAATCCATGAGCTCGCATTTCACACGTTGCAATTTCTGCCAAAGCATTTTGTATGTATTTATGAAAAAATGTTCCTGCACTTGCAATAAATGCATCAACTTTTAAGCCATATTCAGGATATTCTAACAAAAAAGTATATAATTCTTGAATGCCCTACAAAATAATAATGTGAATAAAAGTAATTTCTTTTAAAACAAAAAACAAAAAAAAGAGCATATACTTCTTTAGATGAGTTGGTTTGACCAATCTTTTCGAATACTCTTGTAAGAATTATACTCAATTCCTGTTCAGTTATTTGATATTTCGTATTATAATTAGCATTACTATTATTGTTACTATCGTTATTATTAACAATTCTATTGTTTCTATTATTATTATTATTATTATTATTATTATTATTATTATTATTATTATTATTATTATTATTATTATTGTAGGAAACCATAATTATGGTTTCTATATTCTCTATTTCTAAATTATACGTAGAAAGAATATTTACCAGACAAACTAAGACACACACCCCCTCCTAATATTAATATAAAAAAAGATCATGTAACGTTACTGTTTTATTGAAAAAGGAAGGGAATCCTTAATCGACAATCCGTCTACCTTAACTCACGCCTATTGCAAAAATCTAGGCCGTAAAATGATACAAACATATGCTAATAGCATAAATAAGTTGTTTTCTATTTATTTTGATTTAAAATGGAGGCAGAGACTTTTGCATTTTGAGATATGGGGCTTCGTATAATCTTTATTAGATCTGTAGATTTTAGAAAAGGATCTGACGAACTTTATTGCAGCTCATAAAATCCACAAGGGCTTGGTCAAGATCTGAAATATTCTAAGACTCAGTTGAAGAATCGATATAATCGGCAGTTCTGTGCAAAAAGAATATGGGAAAAAGTTGGCGCTGCAGAGAGGAATTATGTAAAAGAATGACAAGATAACTAGTGTCAAAGTACATGTGCTATTGAATGTATCAATTCATCGTGTATTTCATTCAGGTGTGGCTATATTATAAAGCCTCAGGATCCTCGTCCAGCAACTGCCATTTCTATTGCTGATGCATCAAGATTGCTCTTAACTTTTCATTCCACTTTACAAGAACCTATCTACACCTACACAAACCATTAGCAGTCAATATATACTGGATGACACTTTTTCAACACACTCATAATATCAATGACCCTGGCGAGGGAGATTTAACGAAATAATTGGTCGTTCATCATTTTTCCACATGTTAACAATTGGGCAGTACCCCAGGCGGAAGGTTTTTTTGACAGAAATACAAAAAAATCTTAATATATATTTTTTTTAGTGGGAAAAATTTCAGACAAAAATTCAAAAATTAGAACGAATGAATCCAGAACTTTATTATTCTTGTTATATTTTCAAAATTTAAAATCTATTCTTTTTTTTCTTTCAAATAAAAAAGATGATAAATCATAGTTAATTATGACTTTTAGCCCAATATTCTTTACGAAGTTCAAATATTGTTGGTTTGTAACTTTCAGATTTAACAATAGATAAATTCTTGAATGCATTTCCATGTGGTCGTGAAACTTTTGGAATTCTACCATCAAAATCTAATATTTCATTCTCTAAACTTGTTGGTCTTTGAACATCTTCGATCACTTTAGTTTTCTCGTCCGTCCCGATTCTTACAGTCATACATCCATTGTTTCTATTTACTTTTATCACCTGTGTAAATCATTATTTTACCTTGATCATTATTTTTAAAATTCAAAAAAAGCACCTCCCAGTATAAATGTAAATTTTACCTTAAGTTCCATTGTAACAGTAATGTCAATTTTCGCAAAGCCCCGTTTATATATCAATGTATCACCTTCTTTGATAACCATTGCTTTAACAAGATCTGGAAGTGTTATTTTGGCAGAATCTCCTGCTAATTGAATCTTACCAACACCTTCTTTTAAAGCTTCTCCCCACATTTCTTCAAATGCATCGCTCTGGCAATATATATATAAATAAATATAAATATAAATACATAAATAAATATAAATATATAAATAAATATAATATAACTACCTTCCAATAACTGGGAAGATCACATCTAAATTTTTCATATTCATCCCATTGCTGATTTACACCATAATTCGTAAAGTATCCATACTCGATGCTAAGTTGCCACCACCATCTAGCATCTTTTACATCATCTGACAACCAAAAATCAAACCGAGGTGTTACCACCTTTGGATCAAGGCTGATAATTTGTCCATTGATTCCTGCCTCATAAAGAGTTTCACCATTGGAAGTACGTTGACGTTCTATATATGGAGTATCAATAGGTTCACCTGTTATACTTGCAATTGGTACGATGTCTTCTCTAGGAATTAAATTCATAACGCGAATTTTTTGTTCATCTGTGAACCTATTAAAATTTTCCATATTAATGATTTTCTTTTCAACAAATAAAATTAATAATTTTAATTATTATTGTATGAATATTATATATAATACACGCATTTACATATACACATTTATACATGCATTTTCTCACACATGTTACCTTAATTATAATAAATGAAACGATCGATTCTGGGTTAGTGAATAAATCAGTTAAATATTTCATATCTTTCCTAGTCATCCATGGTTGTTTAGTAAAAAGTTTATCAAGATATTGATTATATTCAGGTTTTGGCCTTTTTACAATAGCAGAAGTAGAGGAAGATAAAACTTTAAGTTCTTCTAACGTTGAGAATATCTTGACTTTCAGAGCTTTTATTTTCTCTTTTAATGTTTCAACAACAAATCTATTTTCTTCCGATGCACACTTTTTAAGTCTCAAATCAAGTTTTTCAAGCATACTTAAGTTAGTTTCATCAATTGATGATGACGATGATGATTGTTCTTGCGCTGCTTCTTTTTCAGCAACCTTAATCTTGTGCTCATATCTTGCTTTTATTTTTTTGTAAATATAAAGATTTCTTTTCTCATATGGAAGTAATTTATTTCCTTTACTTTCATCTAGTTCTTTATCATCATTTTCAGATTGTTGAATCGTGGTTTTTTTGTTAGATTGTCTTGCTATTTTCTCTTCTATTAATTGTTGTAACCAGGCTCTTCCCAATTTATAATCAGGTTGATCTTTTGTTGACTTATTTGAAATTTCATTCAATCTTGATGTTTTTTGTTTCTTACGATTATTATTAGATTTATTAGATTTACTGGATTCAATATTACTATCTTTAGTTCTAACTTTTGATCTTAAACGTTTATTTAAGTTTTTATTATCTTGTTTAAATTCTTGAATTCCTGATTTTTTTCTTTTAACGTTTGATTTCTTTGGTTGTGAAGATTTGTCTTCCTCCTCCTCCTCCTTTTCCTCCCCTTCTTCTTTTTCTTGATCAGCTTCCATATCCTGATCAACATCATTAGTGATAGTATCATTACTCGAAAAAATAGTTTCTTCTTCTTGCATTGAATTTTTGGACTCGTATTCTTCTTTAGAAGTTAGAATTGCTTCTCTAAGTTGAGCTTCTTCGAATTCATTTAACGTGTAATCATCATTATCATAATCATGATCACTGTCACCAGATTTTTTTTGGACCGTTTTTTTTAAAGCACTTTTTCCTTTGTTTTTTTTTGGAGGCATACTATTTTAAAAAATTATTTTTCAAGTAGTTGACAATTATTATTGGCTAATTAGAACACGTCAACAAAAACTTGTTTGTACTACTTTAAGTAGTATTTAGCCCTTTTTTGTTTTGTTTATCATTCCCGTTCAAAAGGATATATTTAAAAAAAAATGATTTTTAGATCACAAGACCTCCGACTTGCTTTATTTATTCCATAATAATAATAATAAAATTTGAGGAATATTAATTAGTTAAATTGGTGTAACTTCTAAATTTTTTTGGCTATTACTAGATTTTTAAATCACACTAGATGTCACATAAATAAAACGTGATATGATGCGATGATAGTATCTAAATTGGTTAAAAAGAAATATTAATTCAAAATTTTTTTATTATCCAATGGAATTGCGATTGACAAGAGAGCTTTACGTTCACAGGTATATATAACTCAGGTTCTAATATGAAAACAATATTTCACCTATTCATTATTGATAATGAATGGTATGAAATTTTTGAATTTTGTAGTACAAAGGTAACAAATTCAAGATTTCGCTTTTCCATAAAAGTAAGTGGTTTTCATGCGCGAAGCGCAATAAATAAAATATATTGGAAAGATCTACATTATTAACGTTTATAGATAACGTGTGACCATAGTAGTATTAAATAATATAAATTAACACGTTTTAAGAATCAACAAATTTGCACAGGAATCTTGGTCAATTCAAAATTTGAGACACAACGTAAAACTATTTGCATTTTTGTCACCTTCGTACTATTGAGCATAATCTTCAAAAGCGCAGAGAAACGGGTGCCATTAAGCATAAACATAGTAATGGCAGACCATCACATAAACTCTTGCACGATCCTTGTGTCAATTTGCTCATCATAATTCTGCTCCAACAACCCATAGACTTGCCATGTTAGCTAAAGAAAAGCATAATATACCAATTCCTCATGCTTCTATTGGAGACATATGAAAAAGATAGCTCTGAATTTCCATACTGACAAGCCGACAGATCGAAGCACAAAGGCATTGGCACAAGCTCATATGAGCATTATTTAATAAATAAAATGGCTTTTGATCTTTTTAGAAATAAAGTTAGCATATGGCATAAAAATGTTAATAGACCAATTTGATGTTTACCAAAGGTGATGGCGCGGAGTAAATCTCACTAAAAGATAAAATACTTTTATTTTGTTTCATCGATATAATGATGGACTTTATTATGTGAATATTTTGCAGACATGGGTTATACATGTTGCAAAAAACTTACGCGGTAGAGACTGGTGTTTGCAATAGGATAACGATCCTAAGGAAACTTCACATGTTGCAAAGGAATCCTTGCCCAAATAAAATTCGGGTTACAGAGTGGCCATCTGATAGTCCAATAGCCCCGACTTAGACCGTATTGAGAACGTGTGGCGTATTGTAAAAAATAATGTTGTAAAATATATGTCACCAAATATTGATGAATTCAAGCAACTTTTGAGAAATGGGAAAAATCCTCAAGAAACTTAATTAACTAATCTTAAAAGACAATGATATGCCAAATTTGTTTATTTAAATAAAGTGGACATAGCATGTTGCTCTTGTATATGAATTAAATTCTATTTGTATATTTATTATAAATCTATGTTAGGACTTATTCTCTTATTTTAATTTTGCACAATTAAGAAATGAGATTTCAATTTTTTCAACATCATCTCTAATTGATTTAAATGATGCAAAACCCGAGATCCTCTGATTATTTCATTATAAGCCCAATTGGACCATTATTAACATTTCTTTGTCAACATATAATGATTCGTTATAAATAACCAAATATCAATTCTTTCATTATATTCATAATTTTGAGCAATATTGTAAACATCAAGAGCTTATTTTTGAATGCATTTTGGTTTGACCAATTATCTCAATTTTTTGATATTGTTAAGGTTTGATGCTTCGATGAATTATTTTCATGGATATACAACTCCCCATTTTATTTTAAAATGTTATAAGAAAAACAAAACTATAATATTTACTTTATTGTTGAACAAATTTGTAAAGTCACTGTTGGAAATTTATAAAACCATTTAATGTTCTAGTATAGTCTTCAAGGCTCCTTCGCAAAGATAATTTAGGATGATTACATCAAATCGCGTACACAATGTTAGCTATCGCACCAGTTAATTTTGAAGCATATAACAACAAACTTTAAAAGCTCTATTATTTTTAATTGGTGTCGATTTTTAATACTTGAGGGTTGGTTTTTACAAAGCGTAAAAATACAACAAATTACGTCGTGTTCAAACTGAACTAGTTATTCAAGCTTTAAATACATCCAACTTTGGTATAGGGAACGGATTTTAGATAATACTCGATGTTAGTTATTGCACTTGATTTTGGGATTTTTAATCTAATGCTAAACAAATTCGGATTCGGTTCGCTCTCTAAATCGCACCGTTCACAGCTTTAAGAAAGATAAAAGTTGTTGATAATATTTCACCCTCTTTGACAACTTTTGGGTATTCGGGAATTGGGTTTTGATAAGGTTGATAAATTGTAATAGATTTATTGGGTATATACTCAAGTTATTATAGTTTTGATGATAATAACCATTTGTTGCATTTAAAAAAAAATAACGTTTTCTACTCAAGATGTATGGATATATAAAAGACGCTGCTTGCTTTGCAACCATGATAAATATTATAATACTGTAATAGGGTATACAACGGTCTAAGAACGAGACATTCATTTACTACGTCTTTTGTCCAGTTTTTAATGAAAATTTTTTGTGGATTCACATATCCACGATATATTTGCTCGTTATGTTTGAATTAATGAAATGGTAATGGTGTTAGTTAATCACTACATCCTTGTATTGAAGGAGATAATTCTAGTTTTTTGGGTCAATAGATGCAAGAATTTACAATTGTCATTACGAGAAATATGAAATAATGAAGCTTCGATAGAAAAAGGATCGAAAGGTTATGTAATAAAAATAACAACAACTTTAATTGAATATAAAACATCAATATTACACCGTGAATATGGGAGAATCCAAGACCTCCTCGGAAAAACAATATATGTTTAATTCATGAACGTATCATTGTACAGACGATGAATGCATAAAAGAACATGGTACTGTATGCATTTCATCTTTTCCATCACGACATTTAATGCAGTTAAAAGTATAGTTGATGGTTTACATGGGGATGAAATTGTACAGAAGCAATAATGGTTTACTTATCCTCTTCAAAATAAAAAAAAAGCAAATGATTTGATAGTTACGTATGGAGTTGGTCTCCCGCTCCACCAACAATATACTTGACAGACGAAATAGTTAATATAATATATAAACCCAAAAATTTAACAATTAGGTTCTTTGGAAGTTAAAAGAGCTACCAATCCTAACAAATAACTTGAAAATTAAACCCAAATATTTATAAAATAAATAAATGTTGTATTAATTGTAAACAAAATTACAAGGAAAATTATTATATGCGTACATAAATATAAATTTAAATGAATCATTATTAAATAATTTACAAAAAATAATCATTTGTTTTTTAAAATTCTTTTTTGTTCCCTTCTTCTATGAATCCATCTCATAAATCTTGAAACCCATTTAATCCATATTGAATAAGTAAACAAGATACACAATATAGAACTACTTATTCCAGTTACAGTCCAGAAATAACTAATAAACAAATATAAATATTAATATATTTTATATTATAAGTTTATATGTGTGAATTTAAATCCTACCTCATTGGATAATAAAGTGCAGCGAAATCCAATTGGAAATTCATTCCAAAATCTAAATAAAGAAGGAATAAATTTTATATTTATTAATTATTTTTATATAATACATGAACATATAATATTTATTCATATAAAACTTACACCCAGCAATAAAAGTCATTGGCATAAATATAACACTGATTATAGCAATAATTCTCATGTTTTCATTGGTCTAAAAATTATAAATTATATTAATTGTGTGAATTATGAATTATATAAATAGTTATTTGTATTATAAAATACTTGATATGCAAGTAAATTAAAAATCTAAATTTAAAAAATAAAAAAAGATTATTTTTTGTTTGAATTATAAAAAAATCTTGAGTCTTTAATTAATTTATTACTAACCAAATTAACTAAATTCTCTGAAATCTTTGTCATTGTATCCAAATTATCAACAATTTCATTACAATGATCCTATAATTATAATAAAAATAATTAGTAAATGGTTTTTAATTTTCTTTCTGCTCAGTTTCTCTAAATTAATAATAACTCACAGCAACATCCATAAAATAAGTTTTTGCCAGTGATGTTATGAAATCTTTTTTTTCTTCATGTTCTCTCAATATAGTAACAAGACTTTGAATAGGTCCAAGTGTTCTTTTCAAAAGTGCCAATTCACCAGATATCATGTGAAGTTCTAATTAATAAAAGCAATTTTTTTAATTATTATTATAAAGTTATTATGATAACAATAAATATATTTATCAATTATACCATGTGAATAAGTCATTTTAGGTCGAATTAACAATCTCCCTTCTAAATCTGCAATTTGGTGTCTATAAGAATCAACAATTGGCATGGCTCTATAATAATGCATAATAATAATAATAATTAAGAAAAGATTTTTTCTTAATAAAAAATTTTAATAATGATAGACTTACAAATCAACAATTGTATCAATAACAGCTTCCATCAATAAACTTGCATCATTAGCAGTTCTTAATAAAGTTTTTGGTTGATTAATACGTGCAAGAATAGGTTCATAAACAGATTTTCCGTTATGTTGAAAAATAGTTAATAAAGTTTCTAAAAAATATTTTTTTTTTAATATAATAATGAAAGAAAAATCAAATTATAAAATATTATGAGAATATATATTACCATCTTTAAGCAAGAAAATGCTTACTTGCTCTACATAAACATTTAATTTTTGCCTTCGTAGTATATTATGGGTTTCCAAATATTTACTTCCTTCTTGATGGCCATGTAACAACAAATCTTTACGTGAATTAAAACTAAAAGATTTAGTATTTTCTTTTCCTTCAATCATGCTTGAATTATCTCTTTCCAATTCACACTTTACATCATCATGATTAAGAGTATGAAGTAGAAGTGAGATATAAATATGGTTCTGATATTGATCCCGTTTTGTGCCTGTTTATTATTATTATTATTATTATTATTATTATTATTATTATTATTATTATTATTATTATTATTATTATTATTATTATTACTATTATTTTTAAAACATTTCTTCAAAATTAACTTACGTTGAGTGTTTTGTAAAGCATCTTCAATTGACAATGGGTGCAGATCTTATACATAATGCGTTATTTAGCATACAAATATTATTTTGTGCTTTAATTATATAAATAAATTAAATCATATAAATAATCACCAAATTTAAGTGCAAGTGTTTTAATCACATCCCAAGAAATTCCATCTACATTAATCCAACGAACATTTGTTTTATCTGGACGATCTTTTTCTAAAAATCCTCCTAAATCCTTATTTGAAAATTTCCCAGAATAAACAACCTCATCTAATATTGCATAAAATATATGTTAATTATAATAACAATAATAACTGTTATTGTTGTTATTATTTAGAGGCTTTACCTTCACTAAAATCTGAAATAAATATGCTACATGGAAACTAAAATCAACATTATAAAATTAATAATCATTTATAATTAATTATAACCAACAATAATAACCACACTCACGTTTACATCATAATCGGCATATCTTGGATCAATCCCAGGGTCTTGTCCAGGTGAATGCATATTATCGACTAATTATTTATCAAAATTAAAAAATTAAAAGTCAAAATAATTTGCTAATGGTTTATATAAAGAATTACGTGAATGAACTTTGTAAAATTTATTTCACCCGTTAATAATCTTCTGGCAGCGATGATTTTTTTGGCCATTGCTTTCAATCTACTTCTGCCACCTAATGATAAAAATTTGAAGGAAAATGTATCGTTCATTAGTATTTCTATCAATATAAATTAATCAATTATCGCTCTTTTTAAGAAATTTACTGCCGGTTTCAGTAACTTCATCTACATCTAGTATATTATTTTCATCAAAATCAACAACTACTGAAGTAGAAACACTTTTATAATCTTTCTCGTCAGTCATGTTAATATGAATTTTTTTTCGATATAGTTTTTTTTTTCAAAAGTTTTTTGAATTAATTTTGTGCAATTGTTTTGATTGTTCACTAATTAGTATTAGGTGTTGAACAGTTCTAAAAATAAATCGAAAAACTTTTTTGATGGGTTGGTAACTTGTATACCAAATATAGAGTGATAATAATAATAAGGCATGAAGACGCTTAGTAACTATTTCTATTAAATATATACAGCGGATAATTTTTCTTTTAATATTAAATTAATAATTTAAGAAGTAGAAGAAGTGTATAATAATCAATACAATCTATAACGAACGAATTTATCTTTTACTTTACATACTAATACCAGATTTTACTATAATAATAACGGACTAAAGATTTTGTCCCAATACCAATTACTGTTTGAAAAATCTCTAACGGATATTAAATAAAAATTTTAATGACGATCATTTACCAATACTCTGTTGGTCGTCCGTTGTTCTTGGCATGCTTTCAATAAGTTCGTGTAACTGTGAGTATAAACATCTCTTTATTTTCTTTTTTGAAATTTGTAACTACAGTACTACCATGAAATTCAAACAGCACCAGATTTTCGATGTAATCCTTATGGTTCATTTTTCCATCCACCTTAACTAAAGGAAGGACCTAATCATTTGCCAGAAAAAATATTCTCGCATAATTCATTATACCACCACTACCATGTTTAACGGTTGACCCAATGTTCTTAATTTTGCCAAATTCAAGCTTCCTAAAAAATTTTGAAACATGACTCATCTCCCAAAATAATTGCTTTCCACTGTCTCACTGTCCAATTTCTTATATCCATATACCATTTCAGTCAATTCTCCTTTTATTGTCTTGTTAATGTTAATAGGTTATTTTTTGCGGCAATTTTCGAAAATATCCAAGTTCATACAAATTGTATTTTTGATACTTCTAACTTCTGTAAAACGATTTTCTTCTAAAGAACTACAGTTTTCCTTTGATGCACTTCTCTTTAAAAATCTTTGATCTTCAACTCTCAATGCTTTTGGGCGACTGCACTTTTTAAATTTCTTCATTCTCATAATGTTTAATAGTATAATGAACTGTATGCCCTTGGAATGATAATTCTCATGATTTATTTGATGTTGGTTTTTTTTTAACTAAAAGCCACAAAGAATAGGAGAAGCTACCTAATGATATAAATTTTATGTATTTTGTTATGTGACATTTTGTATAATTGTTAAAAAATCTTGCCTAAATACTTTTTGGAGGGTAATGTATATAAATTGTATATTAATATGTTCATTTACAATCACATCGGACCTAATTCAAAGATTTTAAATAAGGATGTAATCTTGATTTTTGTGTCTCGCAAACCAAAGTGAATAAAAAATTTCTCGAGTACCCAAATTTGTGTGACTCGCATTAACAAGTTTAAATTGGAGAAATATGAATCAATTATTACATACTTTATTATTAGTTGATAATAAAAAAATTCTATACTTGAAGAATGATCCAAAATAAAAAAGATTTCACTATTATTAATTTGCAATATTATCATTTTTCAAACTTGATCTACCAGCTCTCATCATTTCATCTACCAACAAAAAGTTACTAGCAATTACAGAACTATCAATAAAAAATATAGGAAATTTAAACATTATTAGATTGTTATTATTTTTATTAATGTATATCTATAAATAGTAGGAAATACATACCATGAGTGTAACATGTGACGAATGACTCTATAATTGTCCCAAATACCTTCTTGAACAGGATCAAGTGTTTCTCCTGTATTTAAATCTACGCCAACAACATGGCCGGAAGCATATTCCTCCTTTATAAAAGGAAAAAAAATTCATTTTTAAATAATTTATAAAATCAATAATCAACAATAATAATAAACAATCGAGTTAAAAGTATAGTTGATGGTTTACATGGGGATGAAATTGTACAGAAGCAATAATGGTTTACTTATCCTCTTCAAAATAAAAAAAAAGCAAATGATTTGATAGTTACGTATGGAGTTGGTCTCCCGCTCCACCAACAATATACTTGACAGACGAAATAGTTAATATAATATATAAACCCAAAAATTTAACAATTAGGTTCTTTGGAAGTTAAAAGAGCTACCAATCCTAACAAATAACTTGAAAATTAAACCCAAATATTTATAAAATAAATAAATGTTGTATTAATTGTAAACAAAATTACAAGGAAAATTATTATATGCGTACATAAATATAAATTTAAATGAATCATTATTAAATAATTTACAAAAAATAATCATTTGTTTTTTAAAATTCTTTTTTGTTCCCTTCTTGAACAGGATCAAGTGTTTCTCCTGTATTTAAATCTACGCCAACAACATGGCCGGAAGCATATTCCTCCTTTATAAAAGGAAAAAAAATTCATTTTTAAATAATTTATAAAATCAATAATCAACAATAATAATAAACAATCGATCGATCGATTACTTGTAAAGAAACAATAATGTCTTGAGCATCAAAACCACCGTTTTGTGCTAAAACCTTTGGAATTATCAACATTGCATCAGCAAAAGCTTGAACCCCCATTTTGGCTCTGCCTTTAACTGAATCTTTGAATTTTGTTAAATGTGCTGATAATGCAACTTGAAAAGCTCCAGCTCCTGGGACCACACTATCATCTTCAATAGCATTCTTGACAGCACGTAATCCATCACGAACTGCATCATTAATTTGAGTTATAGTGTGTGCATTAGGTCCTTTTGATTTTACATATACATCATGTGAAATTAATGTTAATAAAATTTTATTGAAAGTATTTTTTTATTTTTATAAGAAAAAAAAAATACCTTTAATTAAGATGGTAACGGATTTAGGATCTTTTACATCTTCAACAAAAGTATATTTTTCTTCTCCTAATGTGTGCTCATATATAAGTCCAGCATGTCCAAGAACATCAGGAGTCAAATCATCGACTGAATTTTGTGCGACACCACCACATACAAGTTGTAATCTTTCCATGTTTCTTCTTTTTGCTCTTCTTAATGCTAAAATGCCATTTTTACAAAGTAGATCCAATGATAAAGGGTCTATTCCTTTTTGATTAATAACAACAAAACCTTTTTTCGAATCACCACAAACTTGTTTCTTTAATTCTACAATCTTTTTAACTTTCTCATCAGTAAATTTTCTTTCTGATTCAACAAGTTTTTCACGTTGATCAGCACTTGAATAAAAAAATCCTGAATTGATTTCACTGTTAATAGCACAAAAAAATATTATTTATAAAAATATTTGACTATATTTTTGGAAAAAAACTATTTAAATTAAAATTACGCATTTTATTTTATCAAGACGTTATATGGGGTTATACCTTTTCTCATATTCTAAGGACACATTTAATGTCAATATATAAGCATCTTCTACACGTCTTGGCATATCTGGATGACGAGCTCCATGATCTAATACCAGACCACGGATCAAACGTGAATCAGTTGCAGTCTTATGTTGCATTTTCATAACCTCTACCATGTGTAAATCAATTGGCTGATTGTCACGTTTAATGGCCAAAACAGCATCAACAACAGCCTCTGTCAATTTATCAGCAAGAGTGCTTTGAACTTTTGTCCTTAAAGAACTACGAGCGACATTAACAAGTAATTCTCGATCAATTGATTTTGTAACTTTAAATTTATCCAAAAACTGTAAAAATTTTTTTTTTTCAGGAAAAAAGAAAGAAGATAAAATTAAGCATATTTATATATATTATTTAGTATAATGTATATGTATATATATTATATACCTCAAGTGCTTCAAGTCTAGCTATGTCAAAACCTTCTGTAACAACTCTAGGATGTAATCCTTCTGAAATGTATCTTTCAGCTTGTTTCATTAATTCACCAACCAATAAAACTATAGATGTGGTTCCATCCCCTGTGATTTCATCTTGTGCTGTAGCAGCTCGGGCAATCATAGCTGCTGTAGGATTTTGTATTTGCTTTTTTTTAAAAAAAATATAAAATAAAAAGATTAATAAACAAAATTTATAATTAATTGATCAAAATTAAAAAGTGTTTCTTTTTCATCATTTTCATTACAAGACATAATTACCATTTCACTTAAAAGAACTTTACCATCTTTGGTGATTTTGATATTCCCTGCACCATCAACCAACCTATATTTTAAAAAACGGGGTTAAAATAAAATAAAAATATATAATAACTTAAATGTATCCGATAAATACATTTTTATTGTTCCTTTTGGACCAAGGTTAGATTTAAGTACATCTTGTAAACCAATTGCACCCGTAATATTAATCTGAAGAGCTTGACCTCTTCTTGCCACTTCAGATTTAGGATTGATAAGTTGTACAGCAGAAGACCTATCAAATGATATATAATAACAATTATGATTATTAATTTAATAATTATCAATAAATGTTTTTGATTTGATGGTTATACTTACATTTAATAATTATGTCTATTTAATGAACGCGAAAAAAATGGTTAATTATTTGTAAAGTTCCAAAAGATCTTTTATCAATGATGCTATATATCACATTTATCACATCACGACGATCCATACGATCCGTACGATCGATCCATTTATATCGCGATTTTTTAATAACTCAAATTTAATACTTTTGTAACCACACACACATTTCAATTCTATCTTGCTAGGTAACTTTTTTGCAAGTTTTTGCAAACTGTATTATATATATTTTAGAATCCTCAAGGAAAAAGACATTTATATACAAAAAAAAACAGTTTTTATAAAAAGTTATAGTAAATATAACTGAGACAATAGAAGAAAAAAAATTATAATTTAAAATAATAAAAATAATAATAGGAAAACAAGAATAAAATTATTTTATATAGACTCATTATATAAATTCATTATAAAAAAACTAGTTAAAAAAATAATAATAAAATAACAATTCATCTAAAAAATATTAGAAATTTCAAATACAAATATTATTATTATAATAGTATTAACGTTTCCAAGAACGTTCTCTTTCATCATCATCATCCTTTTCAAAATTATTTTTCTCATTTGTTTCTGTGGTTGCTTCGTTAAATGTAGTGGAAGTTGTAGTTTCAGTTTTGACCTCAGTATTTGTGACAATTGGTTGTGATTCAGAATTTTCAACAACTGTGGTTGAATTAGTAACCTCTGGTTGAACAGCTGAATTAGTTTCGGAATGCCATGTCATTTGTACAACACCAACATTTGGAATATTAGATCCTTTCACAAGCGCCTATAAAATATCATTTATTACGTCAATATAATATATATTTTTAATTAAAATAACGATCAATTTTTTTTCAAGTTTACCTGTTCCGCGTCTTTTCTATTTTTAAAATGTGCAATCACACCTTTATCATCTTCAACATTAACAAAAGATTCAATCTCACCAAATTGCTGAAAACGAACAAAAAAATTTAAAAGTATTAAATGATTGTTACCATCGCAAATGATAATATATAATATATAAGATTTAGTTACTTGAAAATAAGTTTTTAAAGCTTCAATGGAATCAGCTGGGAAATCTTTGATAAGCAATTTGCTAGAACGATTATCAAGTTTATAAGAACGAATAGCACCTCCACCGCGAACTCTTGGCCAACCGCGAGCCCTACCATAAAAAATAGAAGCACGTCCACGTCCACGGTAAATTGAATCGCCCAAATTATTTGTGATAGAAATTTCCGAAGGCTTTAAAAAAAGAATAAAGTTTAGAAAACCAAACAGATAATAAGAATAATAAAATTTTAACAACACATACATCATTTTGTATAGCCTCAGGATTTGTTTGCAAAGAAGCTTCTGTAGTTGAGCCTT